TGGTAGTTGTAGTGGTAGTGATCATCGTAGTCGTAATAGTAGTCGCAGTCGCAGTCGTCGTAGTAGTCGTCGTCGTCGTCGCCGTGGTGGTAGTAGTAGCAGTAGTAGTAGCAGTAGCAGCAGCAGTAGCAGTCGTCGTCGTCGTCGTGGTGGCGGTGGCGGTTGCGGTGGCGGTGGCGGGGGGGTGGCGGTGGTGGTGGTGGTGGTGGTGGTGGTGGTGGTGGTGGTGGCGGCGGTGGTGGTGGTGGCGGTCGTGGTCGTGGCAATGGTAGTGGTAGTAATAGATGTAGTCGTGGAGATCATCATAATAGTAGTTGTCGTCGTGGTCGAAATAATAGTACTACTACTGCTACAGTTTCCACAGTAACACAGAAGGAGTAGGAGGCGCATTGTTGCAAACAAAACACAATTCTCGATAGGTCATATGCGCATGCACCGCCACTAGCAGCCATGGTCAAGGTCATCATTCCAAGACTACAATTTGCTACCAAGTCCTTTACACCAGTCCCAATTGAAATGTGCCGAGGATGCCTCCTGCGACTCTATGGCCTCGCCCAGGGCTGCAACGGCCCTGCAAAGGAGACTGAGTAGGGGTTCCAGACGTTTGGGCCGGCGTTGCTGTCAATCACGTCTCCTCTGTCATGTACTTCCACATTCTGCTTTCTGACGGAGATGCTAGTGGTGGCGGCTGGGTGCAGATGTGGCTGTGGCGATGTGTTGGCAGTGGCGCTGGTGGTGGTGGTGGTGGTGGTGGTGGTGGTGCTGCTGCTGCTGCTGCTGGCGGTGGTGGTGCTGATGGTGGTGGTAGTGGTTGGTGGTGGTGGCGGGGGGTGGGCGGGGGCTGTAGCAGGCCGGTGGCGGGAATTTGCGACACCTCCTCCTCCTCCTCCTCCTCCGCCTCCTGTTGCTACCACGTCTACTTACGCCAACTAGGACGACGATGATCGCGATGACGAGGACTACTAGGTCAACGAAATTCAAGTTGTGGCACCTTAATCCTTATACTTGAGGCTGTGAGCCACAAAACGCTATGGGCCTGAAGAGATCTGAATTGCAGCGCTCTGTTGAAACTTCCAGACCGAGGGATAGACTCACGAGTCCGCTCGTAGCGGAGCTCCGCTTCTTCCAGTTGCCGATACACGTCCTCCAGCTTCGAAGCTTCGGGAGCCCAGGCTTCTAAGTCAGAGGGGACATGGCAGACATGTTGCTCCTCTATGGCCTCGCAGGTGATGCGTGAGCCCGGTATGTGTACAAGAAGCTGCTCCTCGAGATTGGTGCCATGCAGCGAAGAATGGGTGCCACGCACTTCGACTCGCCTGGTCTGCCAGTCCACTGATGTGATCAGTCACGGGTACCTCATAACAAAGAGGAGATCAAAGTGATTTCTAGTCAGGAGTGTTCTTGCCATGCAGCGCACTAGGCGGTAAAGGTCAACGGTCTGCTTGAAGCTGGCCTTGCACAGTGTTGCTTCGTTCAGACTGGAAAGAATCGAGGGGATCATAGGTGTAATGGTAAGCAAATACATACGACACGCATATTATGTATGTTGAAAGGGGGTCAAAATGAGAGGTCGTGATGATTGTCTTGCTGTCATCATGATTCTGGCGACGATGGCGGTAACGATCATGATGGAACGCATAAGAGAAGCAACAAAGCATGAACAACAAAGTAGTAGAAAACAAACATAACAAGCTAAACAGAGGCCTCAGAACTCAGGACCAAGAGCCAAGAACAGGTTCCTCCACGTTGCCTCTGACCAGTCCTCGAGCTTCATTGCTTCTCTGAACTTCGCAAGGACCTGGACACCACAGCAGAGAACTTCTGTGTCTGCACGCATGTACAGGATGCACCGATCTATCTATCCGTCTGCCTTTATCTTCAAAGGCGACTTCTGCAAAGATATGCATTGCGAGAGCGCATAAATCCGCAGAAAACAAGCCCACCTTCATCCATAAGTGTTCTTTGCTTGTGCTTCTGCCGATGTGTGTGAATTATACAGGTATGCTGTAGAAAAAGCATCTCATTCTATGCTTGTTTCTCGTAGCGATGCGCCGATCTCATTCGCCTCTGCTGCGGTGCATCCGGGCCCATCCAGTGTCATTGCAGCAATACCTCGCAAAGCCAATCAGGCCGTGGCTCGGGGGAGAAGCTGAAAAACAGTTTATGAGGAGATCAAAGAGAGGCCTAAGACGGGCCTAAGAGAGCCTCTTTTACCAGCAGCTCTGCCTAATCGGAGTGTCTAACGCAGGAGTTTCCGACACTCCCAGTATGTCACTTCACAGATGGTGCACATTAGCACATAAAGATCCAGCAAAGGACTGGGAAGAGGCTGAGCCGCAGACCCCAAAGGACGTTCACCATGCCTCCAACTCCTTGGCGTCGGACAGCCGACAGGGAAAATACAGTATGCACTCCCTGCCGTGACATCATGCCAAGACTTGCTTCCAAGAGTCCAAGGCGTAGCTGGGGCAGCTACGTAGTCTTTCAGGGCTTTGTCATGAGTATGGCTTGCTGCATTGAGGCAGCATGTTCCATGGAGGGTCTGTCAGTTTTGCGGAAGATCTAGATCCTTGCGTGGGCATTCCGGCTGCTGCACTTTGCTTGTGCTGTCCACATTAAATCTTTCGCTGGCGGACGGCGGACAGCTTGCCAGGCCAAGATCATGGATGCAGACAGACCAAGATTCAGGCTTGGACTCACAGGCACTGCATGCAATGCCCACAGGCAGCTCACAGCTGGATCGCGAAGCCAAGCTTGCGATTGAACGGTCCTAACCTCTAGCTTGCCGTTTTGCGATAAAGGTGCGGGGGGCCCGTAGCAAGCCAGCCCGACTTTCTGGCCTCAAACACAAATAATTTAGCTCGAGGCATCTAAGGATCTTGAGCTACCTGGGCTTCCGGATTACCGAACGGCAGCTTAATGGCGTCGGCAGAGATTCAGAAAATAATCGTGCCGAAGCCCAGGGAAGCCATGCTGCAACTCGACTGACTCGTGGGTGGCGGATCACTGCACCTGAAACTTGGGCTCGCTCTCTGTGGACATAGCAGATATGCCAAAGATGATTGCCAGTACTGCTGGAAAAGGACAGTCGACGTGACGACGACGGCAACGACCACTAGTGAGCATACTACCGACTCGACGTCTAACCAGCCAGTAGCACAACTACGACTACCACAGCTGCTGCTCCTACAACTACCACCACCCAAACCACCGCCACCGCCACGGCCACCACCACCACCACCTGCTACTTCCACCACTTCCACCACCACTACTACTACTACTACTACTACTACAACTACAACAACAACAACTACTACTGCTACTACTACTACTACTACTACTACTACTACTAGTATTACTATGTATTACTACTAATATTACTACTAGTAGTACTACTCGTAATACTACTAGTATTACTAGTACTATTACTA